GGCGGGGAGTCTGCTTCTCCCTCTGACCCTCCCCCCTCTCATGTGCTCTCTCTCATTCTCTCTCAAATAAATAAATAAAATCTTAAAAAAAAAAAATGTTAAAAAAAAAAGTCCAGCTGGCTTGTGATTTAGCTACAATTAAAAGCCAGTCATCTCTATTCAACTAAAAGAGCACTTGATTTCCATCTTCCTTTTACTTATGCCCATATTATTTCTTTTAGGAATTCATTCTCTTCCAATTGTAAGGGATATTAATCATAGCTGACAAGCCCTGAATATCCAGATGGCTTTGAACAAGAAATTTTTTGGTTTTGTCTTATTTTGCCTCTTGTTTTCCTTACAGTGACTTTAACACAGTGTGATATTTTCTGAACAGTGATCTAAGAACTCGAAATACTAATTCTAGTCTCAGGCTCTGCTTTTGACTTGCTCTATGATCTGGGGCAGACTCCCCTCTGCTGAGGAAACGGTTTCTTCATCTTTAAAATGATAGAGATCCCCCAACTTCCCAGGGTAATTATATAAGAATCATCTTTTTATTTTTATTTTTATTTTTATTCCAGTATAGTTAACATACAGTGTTATATTAGTTTCAGGAATACAATATTGTGATTCAACAATTACGTAAGAATTATCTTTGAAGGCTTGTTTAATATGTAGATTTCTGTGGTTCATTCCCCCATTCTGATTCTGTAGTGTAGGGTAAGGACTAGGAAGCCCGGGTGATTCTGGTACATGGCCATGTTTGAGAACAAGTAGAGATGAACTCTAAGGACCTTTCAACTCTAAAATGCAGTGGTTACATGAAATCTCTATTTCCCTAAATGCCTTTTATTATATTATCTTCTGGGAGCTCTTTTTATATACTGCAAGAAATAATTGAGATTAAAACATTGTAGGTCACTCCACATACACACACAGGTACAGCTTTGGTTTGCTATAATGTGATCATCTTATGGCTCAGGATGAGAATCTTGACCCCCAATAATTGTGTTAGAAGATGGTTTCCCTTTTTACCAGGGTGCCATCTCAGCTTCTTTGTCTTCATCCTTGGATTTAGAGAAGAATTAAATAGTCTGATATTCTGATTTCCATGTAACCATAAAGTGGAATAAAATTAGGAATTCTGCATGGTGGTTAACTTGTTTGTTTTTCTTTAATTTACAGAATGCTCTTTTCAGTTGCATTAGCAGAAATGAAAGTAAGTATATTGTCAATGGTTATATGAACAGTCCAAAGAGCAAAACTCAGTTTAAGAATATGATTTAGCTGTTATAAGCATTGCCAAGACCTGACATTATGACATGGGCTGTTAGTAAGCTGCGTGAAGGCCCAGCAGGATTCTGATAGGCTCTTTCCTCAGTGGTATTCAGGCTATTCATGAATTATGACAGTTTCTATGTCTTAACTGCAGATTTACAAAGCAGATACTACTGTTAGATGGGAAGATCATGCCCTACTTGAATAAATAGGATTACTTGCAGAAATTAAGCATTCCCAGGTGATACAGTGTAGCACTTGCCAAGGACTGCCTCTCAATTTGTTCCTCAGACATTTACTGCCTACTTGCTCTGTAGAGACAGACAAAGGATATAGGATAGTGTCACTGATAAAAGTGCTGTGGGAATTCAGAGGAAGGAGGGATCACATCCTGTAGGGGTGCTTAGAATGGCTTCGTGGAGTTGGTAGCTGAGCTGGGCCTTGAAGGATGGACAAGAAATGAACAGTGGAGATTGGAGGAAGGGCATCCCAGGTGAAGGGAGTAGTGAGCAGTTACAGCTAGGAAAACACAGCTGAGGAACAGAAGAGTTGTTTGGATTAGCTTGGCAGTTCAGTGTATCAAAGTATGATAAGAAACGTTAACTGGCTGTATTTTATCTTCTAACCCTCTCTAATTAGGGCTTAATTCACAATTTCTAAGCTGTTCTTATAGTAATCTCTGTCTTCCCACACTGGTGAGGAAGCCAGCCTAATGGAGGAATCAGAAGATGGGCATCCTTGGCTGTTTCTCACTTGTCTCTTCTGTCCCCACCCCCACCCCTCAGTTTATCCTAAGGTTAATGGTGATAAATGTAGCCATAAATTACTCTTTGTGTTGAAATTGAACAGTTTAGCAATGAACACAGTAAGTAGTAACTGTAAGTTAAAAACAGGTGGCACAGTAAGTGTGAAACAGTTTCCTGGTGCAGGAAACAGGCCTATCCTGTATCAGTTCAGTCCTAGCTTAATTTGTGTATCATTTTATCCTTGTCATTATTTCTGGAAGTTGCCTCAATTCTCTGCTCATTCCCTAGTCAGTGGAATTCACCAGAAACCTGATTCCGGTTCCTCCATAACCTCTAATAATTATCAGAGATTTCCTGCCTGCCTTTCTCTTACCCGTTTCCTGCCATACCTCCACCTGGGTTCCCTTCAGACTCCCACAGACCCTCTAACCTCTCCTGTGTGGATCTCTTGCTCTTCCCCAGTATAAATCCCACATCTGCACCGCCCCAGCCACTCGTCTAGCTCCCCCCAGATACCTGAGATGGTCCCCCTTGATTTCTAAAAATACACAAATCGAATTTCAAATGTGGGTTTTACTTTTCAGTGTTAAAGCAGGTCATATCAGTTGTGAGGTAAAGACCATTTCAAATTAGACATGTTCTTAGGAATAGAACTTAAGAAATTTTTTTCAAGATAAACAGTTGTATAACTGTCAAATTTATGAAATGAGCCTGGTAGCTCTTAGTTTTTACTGGTCCTGTTTTATAAATGTGAAGCATTTGGGGTTTGGTTTTATTTTTATTTTGTTTGCCTTGCTTTGTTTGTAAATCTCCACAAATCTAACATAGAAAGATGTTCCAGTGGTTCTCAACATGGGCAATATTGGCATTTTGGGAGACCGTTCTGGTTGTGTGTCTGCCCTGTATGTTGCAGAGCAGTTAACAACCCCGACCCCATGCACTAAATGGCGGCAGTAGTCCCCAAGTCATTGTGAAAACCAGAAACATTTCCACATGCCTCCAGAATCTCCCAGAGGGGTGGTCCTGCTCCTGCTGAGAACCACTACGCTAGATAGACTATACTTTGACAAATAAGGACTCTCTTACACCACTGAGCACCTGGATGTCCTCATGGCTATTTCTATAGTAGTGCTGATTTAAAGTACTTGTCTTCTGTGCCATGGTTTTATATCTCAAATTCAAAAAGGTACATATTGTTTTATCAATATTGTGACAATTTATTGTTAGCAAATGGCTATTTCCGTTTCAGCATCATTTCCTTTTTTCCCCCATAGTGGGCTCAGTTTGTTGCAGTTATGCAGGCCATCACACAAACTGCCGAGAATACTGTCAAGCCATCTTTCGAACAGACTCTTCTCCTGGTCCATCTCAGATCAAAGCAGTGGAAAATTATTGTGCCTCTATTAGTCCACAATTAATACACTGTGTGAACAATTATACCCAATCTTATCCAATGAGGAACCCAACAGATAGTAAGTAAAATGGACATATTCCTCTCGTTTCAATCTTTAGTAAAATCATTTGTAAAAAGGAAGTAAATCCTTGGGGCGCCTGGGTGGGTCAGTCGGTTAAGTGTCCAACTCTTGATCTCAGCTCAGGTCTTGATCACAGAGTCGTGAGTTCAAACACCTCATTGGGCTCCATGCTGGGTGTGGTGCCTACTTAAAAAAAGGAAGTAAATTCTTGTAGATATCTGCAGTCTCAGTCATTTGGGAAACACCAGACTTCCTCTGGTTTTTAGATTTGACAGACTGGATATTATTATCACAGCTGAAAGGTGCCAAGAAAGGTAGAGCTGTCAGGGGTATGAGGAAGCAGGCACTCTTTGTTCTGGGGATGGGAGAATTCATTGGTATGGATATTTTGAAAGGAAGCTGGGTTATGACCATGAGAATTTCAAATGATCATACCTTTTAATCTAGCAATTCCATTTCTCAGAATTTGTCCTTCAAGAAGACTCATAAATATACATGCACATGTAAAGGATATTTACTGTGACACTGATGGTAATGGAGAAAAATTAGAAATAACCCAAATACCCATCAATAGGGAATTGATTAAAGTTGATGAAATAAATTATATATCTATATAATAACAATACTTTATAACCAACATAAAGAAAAAAGTATGTTTATATAGAAAGGAGTCCAAGATATAGTAAGCAAAAAAGTCAAGTTGCAGAACTAACTGTATAGTCTAATACATTTTTAGTTGTATGCCTATTCCATTTTATATGTTTTTATAATGAACAATTATTTTATAATAAAAGCCCTATATAAAAATGAGAAGAAATCCTGATACTTATGAAAATCAGGGCCTCCTAGTGAACCTGCACCTTATGGGGTCTTCAAAGTCTCAGCTTTGTACATCCTGTAATCCGTTTTCTTCATTTAGAGGTGAACAAACTTTAAACAATTAACTAATTAACCAAACTGACAAAAGATTTATAAGCCAATGCCAATGTTTTGATTTACACTGGGATACTGAAAGACTTGTTTTTGTAAACTCAGAGGCAGTGATATGTGCCGTTTGTCCAGCATCTAAAGCAGAACTCTTATGCTTGTAACATTCTGTGGTGTGGCTGTATGATGAAAATCAGAGGATGAAGCATTTGCCACAAATAACCTTTATTCCTTTTTTTATTTTAAACATTTTATTTATTTATTTGTCAGAGAGAGAGCGAGCGCACAAGCTGGGGGAGAGGCATAAGAGGGAGAAACAGGCTCCCTGCTGAGCAAGGAGCCTGATGCAGGACTCGATCCCAGGACCCTGGGATCATGACCCCAGCCAAAGGCAGACACTTAACCACTGAGCCACCCAGGCATCCCTATTCATTTTTTTAAAGATTTATTTATTTTAGAGAGAGAGTGCATGTGCATGGGGGGGAGGGGCAGAGGGAGAGGGACAGAGAGAATCTTAAGCAGACTCCCCACTGAGTGTGGAGCCCCATGCAGGCTCGATCTCACAACCCTGACATCACTACCCGAGCCAAAACCAAGAATCTGACGCTTAACCGATGGCACCACCCAGTCACCCCAAACTTCATTCATTTTAAAGGCAGAAGCAACCTGATATCTTGTCAGAGTATGCTATTGTGTTATTTAAATTGCAACTTAGAGGGGCGCCTGGGTGGCTCAGTAGGTTAAGCGTCTGCTTCAGTTCAGGTCATGATCCCAGGGTCCTGGGATCCAGTCCCGCAGCAGGCACCCTGCTCAGCAGGGAGTCTGCTTCTCCCTCTCCTGACCCTCCCCCTTGCTTGTGCTCTTGCTCGAGTGCGTGCTCTCTTTCTCTCTCTAAAATGAATAAATAAAAAATCTTAAAAAAAATAAATTACAACTTAGATTAGTTAACTTGCACAGATATATGAAAGCTTTATATCCCAAAATGTGATGGAATATGGTTTTTGTGGGTTTTGCTATTGAAATTAGTCATCTCTGTCATTCTGTCAAGGACACAATCCCTTTTAGGCAGTTGTTTCTAGCGTGAAATAATTCCAGTTTGATCTATAATACCTTTTCCAGGAACATAAGATACTTTACATGTAAGGACTTCTTAGGGGTAGGACGAGATGACCTTTCATTTATGTAGTATTGGTGCTAAAGATCCCATGTTTGGAGATAGTGGTAAATTCTGGTAATAGTTACCTTGTCCACCTTTAGCTCTTCAGTTATTTGTTACGCGGCAAAGTAGTGCAGAGAGAATTTGCTAGGCTCTGTGTACTGCAGATACTGACATACAACTGAGTGGTAGTGTTTCCAGTATACCCCCATGTTCTTTTGTTCTGAGCAGTGCATGACATAAAATCAGCTAATTAAGCCACATATATCCTGAAAATGTAGGTTTATATTGCTGTGACAGAGCTGAAGACCATGCTTGCCAAAATGCCTGCAAGAGAATTCTGATGTCTAAGAAAACAGAAATGGAGATTGTTGATGGCCTCATCGAGGGTTGTAAGACCCAGCCTTTGCCTCAGGATCCTCTTTGGCAGTGTTTTCTTGAAAGCTCACAGTCTGTTCACCCTGGCGTCACTCTACACCCTCCTCCCTCTACGGGCCTTGATGGAGCTAAATTGCATTGTTGTTCTAAAGCAAACACTTCGACATGTAGGTCAGTATCTCATTTTCCTTTATTAAAACCAGTAGAAAATGGCATTTTAATTAGTGATTTTAAGTCTAGGAAATGTATGTTATATTTTTGTATTGTGTAGACTTAAGAGTTTAGAAGGTGTAAAATCTTTCTTTCATCAGCAAGTATTTATTAAGCGTCATGTGTATATAAGACATTGTTTTTGAACATTGCTAAAAGAACTGTGTTTTGGAGTATAGAGGATTAACATTGGCAGGGCAATAAAGATTTAAAGATGATGCAACAGGGATTCTACCCTCAAGGCTATCATTAAGTAAGCTTACAATTTAGAAGATGTTTTGATATGACATCTAAGGGATATTCTCTTTGTTAAATTATGATACTTTCAACAGTAACTGACCTTTTGTATATATTGGTGAATGATCTGGGTTGGCACTTAAACCCAAAGTTAGATAGCAGTGTATTGGCATTCATTTGGATGATACACTTAGGGAAGAATTATACAAATATAAGATGGAAGGGGCGCCTGGGT